TCGGAAACGACTCGATGGCACATAACAACAACAAAACAAAACGCTCAGCGAATGCATCCTGGAGGGTTAACAGGGACGAGAAGGGAGTGAGAAGTCATTAAAAGAGAAGTAAAATGAACAAAACGAAAGGCAATGTACAGTAAAGGTTTGATAAGACTGGATAATTAATCAAGCAGCCGTAATTATCGCCATAAAACAAAATTTTAAAAAAGTACAGAAACAAACAAACAAACAAAAACCAAAATGTGTATGACTGACTGACTGGTATTCAGTAAGATTTGTAAACTTTCACCCAAATGGAAAAAAAAACAAAACCAAAAAACAAAAACCCCAAAAAATTCGGATGGCGGGGGAAGAAGAACGAACTGGGGAGGAGGGTGGAGAGAATGGTGCAGCAATGAAGGAATGAAAACCAAAATCCCTGAAAATGTTCATTAAATCTAATAAAATTTAATAATAATAATAAAAAAAGGTAAACCCCCCCAAAAAAACACCCCAAAAAAATACCCAACAAACCAAAAGCCGAACAAACAAAACACAACAAAATTCCTCACAACCTCTTAGCAGTCCATTAATATTTCTGCCCTTCTGTCTATCATTCCCATCTACATTACTTGCATGTTCATTGCTTTGACACAGGAATCTCAGGGCTGCCCGAGAAAATAAAAGGTGTCAGCCTATAACACTCAAAGTCAAAATCATTCTTTGAATGTGTCAAGGGCTGTGAGGCGGATACAAGTCAGGGTTCAGATTTGTTGTTCATGGGGTCACTGCGAGTCATACACAACTCGATGTCACCAAACACCACCACCCTCAGAGGTCTCTACAGTAACATTATTAGAGAAAAAAGCCCCAAAACATACACACTACACTAAGTTAACAATGAAACTGCCTGACAATCCTATTATGTCTGTCTGGCCATGCTCTCTTCTCATAATCTATAAAATGAATGACAATCAGTGGCTATTTTCTCACTTTCCTAAAACTTGCCATTGCTTTAACATTCTCCCAGCCAAGGCCAATCCTTTCCCTCTTGCTCAAGAATTTGCATGGATAGTTTTCCATTATTTCCTGTAGGCACACACCCTTCCTCTTCACTGTACTCTTCCCAAAAACACTGAAATTCTAAGTTTCTCCCAAACAAACTCTTCTCATGGCATAAAAGTGCCTTTTTATCCTCTCCTATCATTTACGGTTAAACTTTCAGAAGTAGTTGTTTAAATGCACTGTCTTCTTAACTATGGGTGGCTGATTTTAGTATTCATAGATTTTCATGTTACAACATAGGTCAGTAAAATACTTCCTATTTTGTAAACAAGGTTTTAGGGACAGTCACACCCACTCACATACTAGGGTCTGTGCAGAGTGGCTCTGCTCAACCAAAGGCAGGCCCTCTCTGTCTACTCTCTGTCAGCTCTGAGGATGTAAGGTGGGTAAACTTCATCCTGTGCAATTTACAGCCTTGGAAAATCTGATGGAGGTCTAGTTGGGTTGCTAATGAGGTTGAATTATTATGTTGTTGTTGACTGCCACTGAGTCAGTATGACTCATAGCAACCCTATGAATAAAAGGCCTAAAGCCTTGCTATAACTATCAACATTTATCAAAGTTCATAGAGTTTCCAGAGGCATGTTGTTTGGCCTTGTTAAATGTGTTAAGATATTTATCATCAGGTCCTTACAGCTGATTTCAAGCCATCTGATAAGAGCAAGGAGAGAGGAACATCACCAACGCAATACTATTTTAAGTCTTGTATTACACTAAGTAATCATTACTAAGAAGTTATTTCTTCCATGTTGTTGTTGTGATGTGCCATCAAGTCATTTGTGACTCATAACGATCCTATGTACAACAGCCCTAAACCCTGCTCTATCCTGTGCCAATTGCACTACCTCTGACACACCCATCCCGATTACTCCAGTCACTGAATCAATCCACCTCATAGAGGGTCTTCCCCTCTTGTGCCGATCCTTCCACCCTCCTAAGCATGATGTCCCTCTCCAAGGACCTGTCTCTCCTTACAACATGTCCAAAGTATGTCAGACGAAGTCCCAGAATCCTTGCCTCCAAGGAGCAGGCTGGTTTAACCCTCTCCAGGATGAATCTGTTTGTTTTCTTGGCAGTCCATGGTACATTCAATACTCTTCTCCAGCACCACAGCTCAAAGGCATCAATTCTCCCTCTATCCTCCGTAGTCATTGTCCAACTCTCTGATGCATAACAAGTGATTGCAAAGACCATAGTCTGTATCAGATGCACCTTAGTCTTCTTCCAGCCTTTAGTATTTAACTTTTGAGTAACAACTGAAGCTAATGAATGACCTCTAATTCTTGAGACTGATTTCCACCTCAAACATCACACTGATTAGGGAGGGTGGGGAAAGAGAACACGATGAGGATGACGCAAGAATCAAATTAGAATCCCTTGGTAAAAGTAAGAGTAAATGTTGTTATGTGCTGCTGCTGTAGCGCAACCCTATGTACAACAGCTCTGAAGTCTGCCCTGTCCTGAGTCTGTCTCACTGATTCTGAAACAGTGCCCCAGTTACTGTATTATTCCCTCTCATCCAGGGTTGTCTTCTCCTGTGTTGTCCTGTCCCTCCACTCTTCCAAGCATGACGTCCTTCTCCATGATGTTCATCTTGGCTGCATGCCAAAGGATGTGAGATGGAGCTTCAAAATCCTAGTCTCCAAGGAAAAACTTGGTTTCACCCTCTCCAAGACAGATCTATTTGGTTTCTTGGCATGTTCCATGGTATGTTCACGACTCCTCTACAGCACCACAATTCAAAGACATCAATTCTCCTTCTGTTATCCTTAGTCACTGTCCAGCTCTTTGATGTCAGCAAGCAATTACAAAGACAATGGCCTAGATCCGGTCTCTTGAGCAGGTATCTTGACTGACATAATTGCTTCTCAGTAGTATGAAAAGGTGCATGACAACTACCTGGCCATCTGACTGAAGAGATGCATATTTACACTCATTCCAAAAAAAGGTGACCCAATAGAGTGTGGAAACTATCGAACAATGTCACTAATATCACAAGCAAGCCAAAATCCTTCTGAAGATTATCCAAAAATGACTAGAACAGTACACAGAGAACTACCAGAAATACAAGCTAGGTTTAGAAGAGGAAGAAATAAGAGAATGAAAATCCACTGTTGAAAGTAGATTACTTACTCAATATAGCTACTTACCAAGTAATTTCCACTGCTGAGTTTTCTCTTTGAACTCCACAAATGGAGAGAAACTGGATGGAACAGCTGGAAAGGCACAAACCATATGAACACTCATGGAGGTCAGAGCAAATGACCTTGTCATCATTAACCTTGACACAAGCACATCCATAAGTACACCCCCAAACAAGACATCACTGGAATAGCTCACAGGGTATCAGGATAGCAGAGGCGTCCCAGTACAAAGGCATAATGTATCAACCAGAAAAGCCACAATCAGAGAGCTAATTATACAAGGGGTAGTTTTATGTCCGAACCAACTCAAAGCTGACCCTCCAATGGGTTTTCAGAAGCAGTAAACTGCACAGGAGGAAAATGTTCATCCTTCTCTCTGGTGGATTTTAACTGCATGCCTATTGGATAGCAAGGCAGCTCCTCACCATTCAGCCACCAGGGTTCTCTGGACAAGAGTTGGTGGTTGCTGTTGCTTACTGTCGAGTCAGAACTGACCCACAGCTGACCCTTGGGCAGCTTTTCAGAGGCAGTCAACTTCACAGAAGGTGATTGCCCATACTTCTGCAAAGCAGCTTATGGATTCAAACTGTGTGCCTTTAGGATTGCAGCACAGCTTCTTACCACCAGGCCACCAGGGCTCTCTGGACAAGAGTTGGGAGAAGGAAACTGACCCTACAGTGAAAAGGCACCTTACCTCGGCTTTCTCCAGCAAGATACTGAAGGGCTGGCAGCACTAACTCTGCCCAACTCGGGGCTGCCGAGAACCAGCTATTGAGGGAGCTCGCTGGAGACGATTGCCAATCCAAAACTCGCTCTTCTAGCTGAAGGAAAGAAAAGGCAGAAACTAGTTTAGCTCACAATGGCACAGATGATAGCAGGCAAGCTCTGGGGTCTATTCTGCCCCATTTGTTTCAAGTCACAAAGCAAACTAGCTGCAGAGCTTTGGAAGCTACTGACAAATAAAATTTCTTAAGATCTGAAACTTTAATGTACAGCTGATTTTTTCTACAATTCTTACCATAGGAAGGCTAGCCTGACCCTCCAGCAGCAAGATTTCTAATAAGAGAGAGAAGAAGCTGGAAGATATTTCATTGATTCCAAGGCAAGGTTTGAGGTCTTCGAGAGGCCTAACATGAGAAAAAGAAGTAAGAACTTGCAGAACAGTACTGGTTCAAGCCCTCTGAGCCTCTGAGAGAACACTCTGTCCAAGTAAGATCTCTAGGATTTTGGGATTTCAGGCTCAAGCAATTTCATGTCATTTAAGACCACCCACAGCAAGGACTGCAGTTAAGGTGCCATTTACCCCTCAGTTTAATGCTGACCCTCAAACTATATCTCTGCTTCTCACTTACTCTTCCTTGATAGCAGGTACAGCCAGTGGAGAAGGAGCCTGTGAGAGGGGTGGGATTCCCTCAGTACTGCTTAGAGGGTCAGTCAGATCCTCCACCTCTGATTTAATAATTTTTAATTTCTTCTTCTTCTTTTCCTCTTTTTCCTTTACCCTTTTTTTAAGGACAGCTAAGTCATACAGGGCTGGGAAGAAAATAAAATGCAAGTCAAAGAACTGAAATTTTCACAACAACCAGTAGGGTATAAGAATTCCAACAGAAGAAAAGAATTTTAATTGTCCCTTTAAGAGGTACCTCAGGAATTTTTATAGTCCAGAGAAATGCACCAAAGTAAAATTAAAGCTGGCTGAAAGATAAGTCTGTTGTGTTTTTGGTTTTGTTTTTTTTGTTTTTGTGAAATAGAAGAAGGGTGGATATGAAAAGGCACACCAGAGGAGGTTAGCTTTCAAATGGATATGTGATGTTGGAATCTGGAAATTGATTGCATAAAATATCCCTTGTCTTGTGCTTTTGAGAAGTCTTTTTGTGCCCTAGGGTATGAGTACCCTTATCAGAAATCTGATCTTATCTCTTTCCAGAAGCACCCTGATGCTTCTCACTTTTAGAACAGCTCAGATGTCAATGCCTAATTCTCTCCTATGTGTTTATAAAGGATTTTTAGATGTGAATTAACTTCTATAATATAAAACTGGAATAATGTGATAGATAGCTATGAGCTTGGTTTGGTTTTTTATAGTGTTGGGAGTTTTTTGTTTGTTTGTTTTTCATAAGTCTTTGGGGTTTTGCTTTTGGTTTGCTTTTTTTGCTTATGTAGTATATGCATGTTCTGGGTTTCCATGGCTATAAATAGCACAGGAGGAGATTACCCATCTTTCTCCCTTGGAGATGCTGATGGATTCGAACTTCCAGAGAGTTGTGACTTTTAGGTTGGCAGTAATACTGCCTACACACTAAGCCACCAGAGCGGCCTTGTAAAACAACAGCAGTCCACTGTCCCCCATCTCATCTATGGGAGAAGGATGGACAATCTCCTCCAGTGCCATTTCCTGCCTCTGCAAACTTGCTGGAGGGTCTGTTATGAGTCAATTCCTATTCAATGGCATATAACAAACAACAGTAACGGCATGCTACCAGAACTCCTTAAGTTGACAACAGTAACTCTAAAACATGGATAAGTAATGTGTGGGGCACTGATTCTAAGTCAATGGTGGTGAAGAAAATATGGTGAAAGATAGCAAGAGTAGTGACAGAAGATGAAGAATGTAACCAGTGAACTGTACCTATAGAATTTATTTACTAGGCCAATTAGAGTTCTGGGATATGCAAGTAGGAGCACTTCAATGAAGTTGCCGCCAATACAGAAATGTTGAATTTTATTAGATTTCTTATGGGAGATAAAAAACAGTGAGGCTTTCCACTGAGGTCTAATATGAAGCAGAACGTAGCAGGCCATGTGACTA